CATTCAGAGGCTCCTCCGAAGAAAGGCTTACAGATCCACTGAGGAGGTCAGAGCCCCTGGAACCCATCCAGAGGGGCCTGAATTCTGAGAGGTCACAGCCACTGGGGACCCTCTGGAGCACACTGGGGTGCATCAAGTTTTGAAGTTGGCTGGAAGGCAGCTTGTTTTGCTTTCATACGTGTTCTGCATATGTGGGGTCCCTGGGACACTTGAGGGCCTGTCCCCATCTCTCTAAAGGACCACTATGGGGGACAGGGCCAGACAATGCCACGTGCCCTGGAGGGCTTGTCCTTGTGAAACGGACCTGAGCGTAATCAGGAAACCAGGTCCTCCGAGGAGGGAAGGACAGTCCCAGTGGAGAGGCCTCCTGAGGCCAAGAATGGACACAGTGGAAGAGATGTGATGGAGGGGCGTGAGGCTGCAGGGCACAGGATGGGGTGTCCCTGCTGCCACAGTAAGTGGAGAGCCACCAAGAGCCATAAGAGGGGAGACGGTGCTCCCCTTGTCTCTGTGTAACACCTGGTTCTGGACTTCTCATGGCATTGCACAGGGAAAGACGTAACGGATGCGCCACATGAGCCACCATGCTGACCCGCTTCCCAATATGTAACCCAGTAGGCCAGGCTCGTCCGCTCTCTGCAAAGATGAGACTGTCATTTATTGTTAATGGTGGGAGCCGGAAAATCTGCCAACAATTGTACAGATGATAGAAATAGAGAGCTGACAGCCACCACCCCCTCAAAAAACAACAACAAAACCCCGTTGACTGTGAGACCAGCCAGCGTGAAGGATGCTTATTGGTCAGAACTTAGGCAACTCAAAATGAAAAATATCCTTTGTAAGAAGCAAATTTCATAGTCTGTGAGTGGCTCCAAGTGTCCTCTTGCCCAGCGAGTAACTGAACGATTCTGGAAATATGTTTCTCTTCTCTACAGAGACAGCCTCTACCCCAGAGTTATTTTAAGACCTACTTGTTTTTCCCTAATAAGGATAATAATCTCCAAATCACCAAAATGATTAAGCAGTTATGAGCAGTACAGGCACAAACATCCACAGTTGCAGAATACGCTGACCTTTACAGAGTTTGTGTAAAATGGTTCCAGGGGCCGAGGATCTGGTTTTCATTCGAGATAGGGATGAGGACCCTCTCCCTCATGCTAGCAGATGCGGCTGAGTCCTTACAGCTCGGAAGTGCCCCCCTTCCTGAACTGCTCTCAGACTTAGCATCTCAGATTCTCTCTCTGAGTAGCAAGGCTAATGAGCCAGCTGCAACATCAGTTCATGCTTCTAAACAGTGATGATCAGTTGCCCCCCAAGATAAACCACCATTTTTGTTTTACAGCCAATAACCTGGTCTAGTATTGAATACGTTGCATTCCACCAGGAAAATTGCTTTCCTGTAAAGTGCACACATGAAAAAGAAGAGAGGAGAAACTCTTCTGTCCTGGCATATTTACCAGTGGAAAGGAAAGCTGGACTAGACGTTAACACACCACATTTGTAGCAACTTGTGGAAACCTCAACTCAGCTCAACTTACAAGCAAGGAAGCTGTGCATAAGCCAAAATAATGGAATCCTCTGGAATCCTGCACAGTGTGTGTCTGAGGGACACAGGACAGATGTGTGATGTGAGGGGAATGAGACTGGGGGTCCAGACTAAGACAGCACACTGTGGAGCGTTTCCTATGGGCCAGTCACTGTGCCTTTAAGGCAAACACACCATCCATCGATTCAAAAAGCTGGCTCCAAAACAAGATTTTACACCGGTTTTGGGAGGAAAAAACTCTCATCCAATGGAGGTCACCAGAGAGAATTCCTTCAACCAACTCGCAGCACCTCCAAGGAGACTGCAGTCATGGGGCTCATAGAATACTTGCATTCCTGCCTTCTTGATGTCTCTCCCAGGTTCCCAGAGCAGCAAGCAAGCTGACCATGGACACAGAGGGCCAGAGTGTGATCAAACAGTGTCACTGATACAGTGCTTACGTCTGCGCGGAGACAGCAAAAGCTCCGAGACATTGCAGACTTGGCAAAGGAGAGCCGGTTTGGAGTCACCGCTGTTGTTCAGGATGGATGGAAAAGGGAGGGCTAGGGTGGATACACTGTGCTTGATACAAACCAAGTTTTTGTAGAAATGTACTCAGCTGTGGGTTAACTCTTCAGATTTCAAAGCCGTTTGAACTGCAAGGTTAACGGCTGAAGCTTACCAGCTGCTCCTCGGAAACACTATGCAGGGTCGCTATGGGTCGGAACTGACTCAATGGCACTTAGCAACAACATTAATTCCAGGAAATGGCTACTTAAGCCAGCGTTTACGTGACTCCTTTTGTGGTACGTTAAATGGAACTTGGAGTCCTGGTGTGGCACTGTGGGTTAATGTGCTGGACTGCAAAGTCTGTTTGAACCACTAGGTTGGTGGTTCAAGCTCACCAGCCACTCCTCGGAAACCCTATACCGGGTCACTATGGGTCAGAAATGACTCAATGGCATTTAACAAAAACAACAATAAATAGAACTTAGATGTTATTGTTATTAAGTGTTGTCAAACAGTTCTGGCTCATAGCAACACTGTATATGGTTTCCATGGAGTGGCTGGTGAGTTTGAAATGCTGACCTTGCTTATCCTGCAGCACTACACCAGGACTCCTAGATATTGTGAGGCTTTGCTAATTTTATAAAGGTCTTCAGACTGCACACAATAAAATGACTGGTTCAAAACCTGTCTTACCCTGCTTTCCGTATCTACACCTAGAGCCATACTTTCTGACACTGTCCTGTGACATCACCCATCACTGTTCACTTGGGAGTGCATTAGCAGATGGCAGGTAGCACATCTGTTAGAAAGAGATTCTCTCCGACATGCAGGCTCCGGAGCTGAGACACTGTTAGCATTACACCTAAGGATCCTGCTTTCAAAAAGGGAACCGTGTGTTTTCTTAGCTCCTCTCATGTTTAAAAACATTCAAAATGGGAGGTGCACTCTGATAAAGTTTATAAACCAACACTTGTAAAAAGGTGTGTGTGTCTTTTAGTTTTTTAACAAAAAAATATGAAAGCAAACAAATCACACACACACACACACACACACACCTCCAGAGAAGCAAAATCAATTTCCTTCTGTCACCATCCAAAACCACAAACAGTACTCACAACGCTCTAGTACAGCAATAAACCCTTGCCGAATATAATCTAGGTGATCATTTTCAAATTCTTATTATATAACATAGAAGAAAGAGCCCAATACAATTGGCGAAATCAGCACTGGACCCCTACGCACAAGGTCAGTAATTCAAACCCACTAGCTGCTCCTTGGAAACCCTATATAGGGTTGCTAAGAGTTGGAACCAACTTGATAGCACTTAACAACAAAGAGTTATTTTGTAAGTGATAGTTTTTAAATTGCTTCAAGGGCCTCAAAGGAGTATTTTCTTAGACGGTAAGAGTCTGAGAAAGTACTGCCCCAGCCCCAAGTACTATCTCCCCTAAGGACATGCATCTGTCTGTCTGTACCCAGGCCACCAGGAGAGAACAAAAGAGTTTCCTTCATCAACAGACGCATAAGAGGAACCATGGTCTAAACACAGGCCACTGTCTCTACCTGGACAACTCCCGAAGGGCTGGTGATGGAGAGTGTTCCATGGACCTCTTCCCAGAAGGTTCTGGATGCTGCTGCTACCAGGAAGGATGAGGCAGGAGACTGGCCCTCCTACTCTGAGCAGAGTGCAAACTGAATCCTGTCTCTCTCTTCCTCATGGAGCCATGCTCTCGTCACCCCATCCCCACCCCTTCAGAATCTCCACAGCATCACCCACACTACAGTTACTTCAACTTCTTCCGGCTTTCCTGATGAGATAAGGAGGTCCCAAGGGACAGGATGTTGCGTTCTGCTTGTCTGAAACCCCATTCTCTCATATCTGGGTCCTCAGGATCAAATACCTACGTTCAAAGTCATACTGAATGCATAGAGAAACATAGCAGTCCATCATTTCTACATGGTGGATAGCCATGGCTTCTCTCTTGGTTTAGAATGCAGAAAAACATCTTTAGATTTTAAAATTGAAATCCCCTTAATCACTGTTAGTACAAGCAATGTAAGAACCATACATAATCTCAACTAGTACAAAGGAATTTACCAGATTTTATATAAGAGTGAGATCAAACATGCTCTCAAGCCGAAGTCATAACAGTGACTTTCTCTCAGTGTCTTTGAGGCGTTGGCTAGACAGACACAATCTGTAGGTATTTAAAGAGAGAAACGAAAAGAGAGAGGATGGCAATGATGTAGAATGGAGTCATCTGGAACTCCGTGGTGCCCTGGGGTGAACAGAGCTGCTGGATCCCGTCTGGGGGGAAGGGGGGGTCCCCTGCTCACACACATTACTGAGTTTCTGGTGATGATGCCCCAGGAGTTTCAGGCTGAACCACTGTCATGACCCTTGTTGATGATTCACAAACGCTTCCTTTTGAACATGACAACGTTCATGAAATGTTTTTTTTTGAGAATGCCTTTTAAGAAGAAAAGTTGAAGTTCTCAGCTTCTGTTGAATCTGAAATCCTATCTTGCCGAGAAACTCACTTGAAAAGTAAGTTACACTCACGTTCAACACAAACCTCAGCTTGAGTTTCTCAAGCTGTGGCTTCAATTGCAAAAGGAAATGTGGAAAGGTGATGGAATCTCTGCTTTCTTTTAGTTAAAACAAAGGCTGTCAGGTGCGTACTTCAGTATCCCTCAGTAGTACTGTTATGATTTCAGGGTTGTGTTGCTGGCTTCAATTGTGTGTATATGAACCTAGACTTGGCCTGCCCCATGTGAGCTCAGCTGGCCGCAGGTCTTCCTCTGTGAGTGTCACCTGTGGCTCAGGTACATCTAGGAGAAGGGTCAGGAGGTGTCTCGAGGCAAGACCCCTGGGAACAGTGTTGGGTATATAAATTCCCATCTGAAATCCACAAGAAATCTCACAATGGCACCAAGCACTTTCCCACCCAGCCCTTCCACTCACCTTGGAGCTGGCGGTTCTTGTACAGGTCCCTCGCTTTGGTTGGGTGGGCCCTGGCTGTGTTGTCACATTTCGGCTGTTCGTACCTACAAGAAGGGGACAGCTGGCGTGAGACTGTGACTGGCCCTTGTCCTCCTTCTCCTCAGTTTACTGTGGAGAGGACGTAGTAGAAGGAGAGTGGACTGGTGAGACTGCCTTGGGTACATGGATTCCCTCACCTCCAGTCGTTCAGACAGATCTTGAGCCTGCCCCCACCTCCACGCACTGAGGTATGTCACGGACAGTAAGCACTCTACTCCGTTGGATAAGGGATACTAGAGGTAGCTGGACAGGGGATGACTGTGGTCTGTTACTACTCCAGGGTGGTCCATAGGGCCACTCAGCTTCTCCCCTCAGAGAAGACCATCTACTCATTTTCAATTTAACTCATGAAGCTGTAAAATTTTTTTTGTTAAAAACAAAAGAAAAGAAAGAAAGCTACTTCCTGGTCCCACATCAAGTGGATATGAACACAGGAGACCCTGGCACGAGGGTGGTGACCTCGGAGGCAGCTGACTCTGTGGCTCCTGGGGAGTGTCTACCCCAGTGACGGCTCCCTCTGGTGTGAGGTCCTAGCCGGGTGCCTGCTGAGTCAGCAATGGGTGCACACTCCTCTCCTAGAAGACTCTGACACCCGGGCGAGAGGCTCCATGAGTTTCCTGGTGCCCACTTAGCGTCTCTTCACCAGCACCCGCCTTGGTCTGGGCTCTGGGCACTGTGGTCCCACAGAGAAGACCTCAGGCAGCCTCACGAGGACCAGCCCAGCCAGTGGAGACCAACCATGAGCTGGCGCTGAGCATCTGAACCAGGGGTCCTACTGCCCACTCTGAAGTCCATGCCATCTCCCCAACCCACAGTTCTCATAGGTTGATCCCAGGGGGGACCAAGAGCAGGAAAGCATTGAGGGAGGGGTTCCCTTTGGGTGACTCTGACTCAGGACATCCTGGTGGTGTCTCTGAACTTCCTGCACTGAACAGATATGTCCCCACGGCCACTCTGTTAGTGTGTCCTGCGGTGGGGGGTTGCCTGTTGCTGGGATGCTGAAACTCCACATAGCAGCAGGGTCATCCATGAAGGACAGGCAGAGCTTCCAGACTAAGACACATGACTAAGAAAAGCCTGAAGACCACCTTCTGAAAATCAGCCAACGATCAGCTCACAACAGGACACCATCTGATGTCATCCTAGAAGTTGAGTTCCTATGTTGGAAGACACTCAGTTTCCACAGTGGTCACCCCTAGGGACCCGAGCACACCCAGAACCATGTGGACAGTGCAGGTCCAGGCAGCACTGTGATCCTTTTGAACTGGGTCATCAGGAGTACGAGCCAACTCGATGGTTAACTAAAAACAACGAAAGGTACTTCCCCCTTCTATGTTCCCTCTTCCCTTCCCTCAGAGCCTGACTCCACTGTGGTCTGAGACCCCCCACTCCTGGTACACTGTCCAAGGCTTTCCCTTAACACATTCCTTGCGCTTCGAATCCCTCTATCTTGCCATCTGTCTAGTGTTCAAGGGCCCTGGGGTAGCACAGTGGCATGTGAAATTCTAAGGACGCCTCCTGTTCCAGGCCAACTCCATCAGAAAGCATTCCAGGTAGTCCTGAGGGGAAAGGGGAATGTGGAGGACAAGTAGGAAGCAGTGAGGAGGGGGGTGGGTGGAGTGCGCCAGTCGGTAAATGCTCTCTTGCTCCCCGATACCTTCTATTCCCAGCAGGACAGGACGGGGACCAGAACACACTGGATCCACACAGCGCGCTTTCGCTCTATCTCCTGGTCCTGACCCAACAAAGAGGCACAAGATCAGACTGACTGCATAAGGGTTCTTTTAGATTTGCCTTTTGCTAATCGTGGACCACTGGTGAAGTGCCCATTTCTGAAGTGGCGTATCTCCTGATCCAAAGGGCACCTGGGAATGTGGATGTTGGGAGAGGGCCCATTCCTGAACTGGGGTGTCTTCTGATCCAGTAGGGACCATGACAGGTTGATGGGCAGTTGATATATCTACCGAGCGAACAGGTCAGAGATGCCAGCCGAGCACTGACTGGTTTCGGAAGCTCCTGACCAGCAGCTTATTGAAACCGGACAAGGGGGTGGGCACTGTCCGGGCTGAGGAAGCCCATTTCAGGTTGTAGGTAGGGTCTGACACAAGGCGGCACCAGGAAGTTCATCTACATGGGAAATCGGTGTGGAGCCACCAGAACGCTTCAGGACCCAACGTGGCATCATTTCTGAGGTGACAGGTGCCTGGTGTCTGCCCACCACTACCTGGTTCTCTGTCAGGGAGAAAGTTGAGGCTAGGCCAGGTGGCCGGGTATGCACTGTCAAGGAGAGGGAGCTGCCCACACCACTGCAGATAGACAAATGCTCCACTGTCTCTCAAGAAAGTGGACGGGAGGCTCTCAGTTCTATGCACGAGTGTGCAAGGCAGCCGTCAGCCTGGGCCACCCCACCCCAGCCCCGACAGAAGTGGTCACTCGGGGCTGTCCCCTGTCCTCAGGTCCGCACATCTGACACAGGCTTCACTGTGGTACCAGGAGCCTCTGACTAGAGACGCTGTGTGGGTACTGCACCTGATGGGTCTCTGCAAAGTCCACACTCCTAATCGCCTTGCTGAGGAGCCCTGGTGGCCCAGAGAATGAAGCACTCAGCTGCTCCATGGGAGAAGGAGGATGCTGTTGCTTCTGTAACAACACACAGGCTGGAAACCGGCTGGGTGGCTCTGTTCTAGCTGGCTCTCAGATGGGGTCCACTCCACGGTAGTGGGTGGTAACCACCTTGCCTGGTGACACAAGGGCAAGAGCTGGCATACAATCGGCTGCGCGTGATCCAATTCAAGCCGTTCTGTTCTGCTATTCTCCCTAGCAGAAAATAGGAAAGATGACGGAGGCAAACCCCCCATTTGAATGGTCTGCCCGGCTGTGCATATCAAGGCCCTCAAGTCTGTTCCAGGATCTCCTCATTTCAGTAAATCATGATGAAAATGAAGTCCATTTCTATGAGAGAGGGGGGCTTTGAAGGGGCACCTGGAGGCCTCTGGAGACAGACCCAATGTGCAGCCGGGGCTAGTTTTGTTCCAGTACACCTGGAGAATACGATGTTCATCAGCATCTTCACATTGGTTTTAAAGACTTTTTTCCCCTAAATTTTATTTATTTATTTTTTTAAGTTTTTGTTGCGAATTGAGTGATAGTTTACATGGGAGAACATCAGCTTTACTTTTATCCTATCGTAGTTCGTTTCACTGCAATGATTACAATCCCCTCTGTGCATCATCATTTAACAGTGTTTGCTTCTATTCCTTCTGTGGAATTTTTTTTTGGATGTACAAAAAAACACTCAGGAACACATAATCATTTAAACAACCAAAGAGCACATTCTACAAGTCTGACTCCTGGCCGCCAGCACACAGTCTTTCTCTTTCCATTAGTCTAGAGTCCTCAGCTGCTCTCTCTCTCCATGTCCTCATCTCTGCCTCCATCTCTGGTGTCGCTACTTCTCTGGATAGGGTCCCGCATTCCATTTGTGCTCTTCTCCCTTGATGGCACTAGGGTAGTCTGTTCTTGGACAGTAAGACTACTTACTCCCCCATTTTTGTTACAAAACTTCTACCTTTACAGTTGTGACAGTCGCAGTTAGTCATAATAACAATTGCTCACTATCGAATCATAAGAATCTTATCCCCATCTCTTTTCACCAGACCCATCTAGACAAGATGAAAACTATTCAGTGGGGACTCTACCTTCCCCCACACACTTTTAAGCTAAACTCCCTCTTGAAAACTTGTAAGCCAGTCACTTTATTGCCCCCTCATTTTAGATAGTCAATGTCTAAGTTGCCCTTCCTAACTATCCTATATACAGAAGGGATAGGATTGATAAATGATGTGAAGACTCCTTCCCTCTCAGTTGGTATTTTGAGCTACTACATCCATAAGCGTAGGTCAAGTTCATCAAATTGTAGCAATTTATACTTGTTTCCTTTATCAAATTTTTTGATCTTCCTCTAGTTGAGTTGTAATCATCCAGCCATTGAAACGAGATCAAATGGGTACTATCTGAAAGTTTGGGCATTCTTGTGCATGTCCCCTCACTTCATATCAGCTGGATGCTTCACTCTCAGCCCTAGCCCTCTGTGGCTATGTCCTTGTCCATGTGCTCAGGAGTCCCCAGGTCTCACCACACTTCACACCAACCAGCCCTTCCTCTTCTCTCTCTCATCTCCAGGTCGACAGAAGTAATTTTATTTATTTTTTATGTTGAGAATATACACAGCAAAACACACACCAATTCAACATGTTCAATTAGGGAAGAAATGATTACATTCTTCGAGTTGGGCCTCCGTTCCCAGCTTTCTTTGCTGAGTTACAGGAGATGCCCTGACCATAACCTCACTGCCCACTAAGGCTCCTGCCTCGAGGCGCTGTTGTCAATTTGCTCTCAGACCAAGAGTTCTTAAATCACATTGATTGGGGCAATTGTTGTCCCTAAGTCACCAAGCATACCTGAAAAAAGTTGAATTGGCACACGTTGTGTGGCAGATATATAATGATGAAAAAATCCACAAAACTCACTGGCACTGAGTCACTGCATTCAGAATGACCCTACAGGACAAAGCCGGACTGTCTCCCAGGGCTTCCAAGGCTGTAGTCTTGATGGGCGGAGACTGCCTCATCTCCCATGGAGTGGCTTCTGGGTTCAAACCACTGACTTTTCACTTAGCAGCTGAGCCATCAGGCCTTTCACACACACACATACACACACCACATAACACACACACAGAGACCTCCCTTGAATTTGTTTCTTTAAACAGAGGAGGGACTTAGAAAGGTGGCTGCATTTTCCCCAGAGCCCCTGAGGAGCAGGGGAGTGTAGGCCAAGATGAGAAGGAGATGATCTTTAGATGAAGCCGGATGAAGTCTGGGGAGCATGGGGTCAGCAGCGATGGGACCGGGGCAAGGCACCACTGTGTTTCAAATCTGGTCATGAACTTAAAGTGTTCACAGCATCTTCAGAGAGAACATAACAAATATTGAGCTCAGGGTCTGACAGCCTGAGGTTTGTCTCAGAGCCAAGGGCAGCTCTGGGTCTCATCCTGTGGCTTGCTCCAGGCTCAACGCTTGGGAGAGCAAATGCCCTCACTTAAACATGACAAACAAGTCAGAGTTTAAAATGTAAACAAACCCGGCTCACAAGAGAGCTTTCTCAGAAAGAAGTATCCCTGGTGTGCATGCTATTGTATACGAGCCATCCAAATACTCTTCTTACATTGAAACCTCAAAAAGATTCAGGTTCCCTCCACATGGTGTAAGGAGCGCTGGTAGTGTCGCCGGTTAAGCACTGGGGTGCTAACTGTCAGGTTCAAGGTTTAAGCCTACCAACAGCTCCTCAGGACCAAGATAAGGCTGTGTGCTCCATGAGCTACAGGCTTGGAAACACAGTTCTTCTCTGTCCTGCAGGGCCCCTGTGAGGTGGAATGGCTGTGATCGCAGCGGGTTTGCAGAGCAGACTTTGAGCTGTTTTCTAAGACAAAGCCAGACCTTAGCCTCTGGCCCACATCACCCTGCTTGAGTGCAGCGTCTTAAATCCCCATGATGTGGTTTGAAGGAAGGAAGCATCGAGTCTGCCACTGGGACCATGTGTGTAAGAATTGGCTTCAATATTGGACTACTGCGACGTTTCCAAAGTGGGGTCCCCAAGTCCATTCAATAACCGAGGGATTGATGGGCCTGGGAGACTTCATCTTGTAGATAAGCTTCCTGCCACCTCTCAGGTCCTGGAGCAGGACTGACGTGCATCCATCGTAATGCCTCATGCTGAGACTTGAATGATTTGGGAAAATGAATAGGAAGGTCAACATGCCATTGGGGGAGAAATGTTTGGTTAAATTTGATACTATTGGAGAGTGATTGCTTTTACACAGATTGGACTGAAGATGTGGTTTGTATTTCAGACTCTCAGGGGACTACGACTTCTCTGCCTTAGACCTGGCGGCACAGTGGGTTAAACATTGGGCTGCTAACTGCAAGATTGGCAGTTCAAGCCCACCAGTTGCTTGCTAGAAAACAGGCGAGGCTGTCTGTTCTTCAAAAGATTTACAGCCTCAGAAACCCTGAGGAGCAGTTCCACTGTGTCCTGTGGGCTCACGAGGAGTTAGAACTGACTGGACAGCAGTAGGTTTGAGTGCATTTTCATTTTTTAATGGGACCTTGTACAGACAAACCGTTTTACACCAGAGAAACTACTTTAGAAGAGGAACTCTTTCATTTGAAGAAAGAATGGCTTCCTTGGTCAACGGCAAGGAGAAAACTACCATACTCCCTGCTGGACACATCCTAATTACCTGCCACAGCCTGGGTTTGGAATGCCTCCTTAAATCAGTTCTGTGTGAGAAACGCACGAACAAACCTGCCTTCCGGCTCCAGCCTGCTCTGCCCTCACTTCCGGTGACCATCACAGAAACTGCCTCCTCCAATGTCCAGTGCCTCCAGGCATGTGTTTTTGCCAGCAGCCCACACAGAGCCACTGGCCTCCTAGCTGTCTCTGCTGCAGCAAATGTGTTTTCACCAGGGGTCTCAAAGCACTGGGTGTGGGAAATGCAGCTTCCAGGGCTGCTGGAAGGTAGGTATTGTCACCTCCTGGTATGCATGCCTGGACATTGCCCACCTTCCTGATGTGGAGGTACGTACCTCGTCGATGTGCCAGGAATGGGACGGCCCGTGTCCACCAGCACACACCAGCAGTAGCCGGTGGATGGATGGCACTGCACAGGCTTGTAGAGCCCTCCGTGAGCGCATTCCGGAATCACCACGTTGTCATTCTTTGGCTGCTTGGCCTCTTCCAGAGCCGACTGGTGCTCCTGATCACATGACGACACTGGAGACGAGAAGGAAATAAAGAATGGGTGGACCAGCACACAGCCAGGTAAGGGGTCGGACAGATGCAGCATGTTACAAGACGTAAGGTAGGTGGGTCAATACACAGCCAGGTAAGGGGACAGGCATGTACAGCATGTTGGAGAATACAAGGTGCGTGGACCAGCACACAGCCAGGTAAAGGGACCGACAAACACAGCACATGGAAGGATACAAAATGGACAGACCAGCATACAGCCAGGTAAGGGGGTGGACAGGTGTAGCATGTTGAGAAATACAAGGTGCGTGGACCAGCATACAGCCAGGTAAGGGGTCAGAAAGACGTGGCACATTGAAGGACAAAACTGGAAAGAAAGGGACATGGGGAAGAGGAAGGGTTGTGGTCAACCCTCAGGCCAGAGGGTCAACAGAGTGAAGCAGAGTCCAGGACTGGGGTTCAGGAAGTCTGGGTCCTGTGTCATTTCCTGATAGGCCCATGTGCGCATTCCTTGCAGAGTGAGCAAATGCAGGGGGCTGGTACATGCTTCTGTTAACATGTGGTGAAGCTCACGAGTTAAATCACAAAGTCAGCATAGACACGACACATACACACGAATCTGATGCTCGCTGGACACCCTAACACCACTGGTCAGAGTGACCTAGGATGCACAGAGCCCTCCTCGACTCTTCAGTCACACATGCAGGTGAGCCTCAAGGTGCACCCAGGGGACCCAGGTCACAAGCAGAGGCACATCTCTCACTGCCCACTGTCCTGGCATGTTGCTCACCATTGACCATACCATCTGCAAAGCCACCTGGAAAACATCCACTTCCCCCCCATGGACTCCCAAGGGCTGGCTCATACTAAATCTAAGATCATCAACTAAAAATAGCATTACGTAGATTCTGAGGCTCCTTCTTGGTTTTGCTGTTAGTTGCCATCAAGTCGGTTCCAACTGATAGTGACCCTGTGTACAACGGAAGGAAACACTGCCCAATCCTGTGCCATCATCACAGTGATTGTTACACTTGGCCCATTGCTGCCACTACTGTGCCAGTCAGTCTTGCTGGGGATCTTCCTCTATTTGCTATCTACTTTACAAGCATGATCTCCATCTCCAGGGACTGGTCCCTCCTGATAACATGTCCAAAAAGGATGAGAGACAAAGGCTCACCATTCTGGCTTCTAAGGAGCATCCTGGCTGTACTTCATCTAGCACAGATTTGTTTGATCTTCTGGCAGTCCATGGTACTTTTAATAGTCTTCTCCAACACCATAACTCAAATGCATCAATTCTATGGTCTACTTTAATCATTGTCCAATTTTCACATGCACACAATGCTATTGAAAGCACCATGACTTGAGTCAGGTGCACCTTAGTTCTTAAACTGGCATCTTTGCTCTTGAACACTTTAAAGAGGTCTTGTCCAGCACATTTGCCGAATATATAATTTGATTCTTTGACTGCTGCGTCCATGAGTATTGACAGTAGACACAAACATAATGAAGTCTTTGATACCTTCCATCTTTTCTTCATTTATTGTGGTGTAATTTATTTGTTTAGTGGTGAGGTTCTTTGTTTACTTTATAATGAAGTGCAACCAATACCTAAGGCTGTGGTCTTTGATCTTCATCAGTAAGTATGTTTAGTCCTCTTCACCTTCAGCAAGCAAGGTTGCATCATCTGCACATCACAGGTTGTTAATGAGTCTTCCTCAATCCTGATGCCACATTCTTCTTCACACAACCCAGCTTCTCAGATGATTTGCTCAGCATCCAGACTGAGTAAGTATGGGGATAGAATACAACCCTGCTGTACACCTTCTTATTTAACTGTTCTGTTTGACCAATTGACTCTTGGCCTACATGCAGGTTCCTCATGAGCATGTACAACCACTTCATGAAATGTGGTTCATTGGTTTAGAGGTGTGTTGTAGTTTTTAGGGTTTCCAAGGAATGGATTGTGGGTTTGAACTGCCAAACTTTTGGTTAGCAGTCAAGTGCTTGTCTCACAGCGTCACATCAGGACTCTAGGAAGATACAGAGACTGTAACCAATTGACTCAGGTGCCTCATGATCATATGCAACCAAACCACTTTATGAAATTTGGTTCATTGGTTGAGAAGTCTAGGTCATGGTTAGGGGACATCTCAGTCAATGGCCTGATAACGTGTTTAGCGTTTTTGATCTAACTCTTGGTTTGTTGTGTAGTGTCAAGATCTTGAATGCTTTTAAGAGCCAAGATATGAAAACTAGTCTTTAATCACCTGGTAAGAAAGAGGAAGGAGAGTCAGGAATAGAAGGAGGATACAGAATGTGTAGCTAATTGCCTTGATGAACTACCTACTTTGCCATGAGGCTAGAAGAACTAGAATGTTTCCAGATACTATTACTGAACATTTTGGTCAAAGACTCCATAGAAGAATCCTGATAAAAAAAACAAAAAAAAGAGAGAAAAATACAGAATTTCAAATTCTCATGGAATCTAGATTTTTCTGGAACCATGGAGGGTGGATGAGCTCCTGAAATACTATCCTTAAACAATCTTTAACCTTAAGCCAAAGACGCCCCCAAAGTCTGAAAGTCTTAGAATATTGGTACTGTTGCTGGGAGAGTAGTCATTGTCTACTGCTTTAAATGTTGTCACCAACTGAAATTTAAGATGTTGCTTGTGAACCCTTATTTCCTCCACACCCTACCGCTCTGATGTTGTCTCTACAATAAATAGATGGCTACAAGCAAGGAACCCCATGACAACCAAATGAAACACTGTCCGGTCCTGCACCACACCCTCACAATCATGGCTGTATTTGAGCCCACTGTTACAGCCAGTGTTCTCAGTGGTTGGTTGTTGTTAACTGTTACTTGCTACCTACTCAGTTCTGACTTGTGGTGAGTAACACTACACCACAGGGTTGTCAAGAGCGACCTCCTGGGTATAGAGTAGAACTACACTATGGGATCGTCAAGGTTATGACTGTTAGGGAAAAGAGCACCGGGTCTTTTTTCCAAGGTGCCTCTGAGTAAATATGAACTGTCAACCTTAGACAAGTATTTAACTGTTTGCCAACCCAGGAAACCCACCTGGGGTCTCCATGAGTCAGAACTGAATAGATAGCAAGTAACAGTCAACAACAACCAACCATCGAGAACCTCCATCAAGAACTGACTTGTACAAGAACTTATATGGCAGCTTTATAGACAAAACCAAAGTATCTATTGAGGAACAGTGTTTAATTCTCCTAGAATCCAGATTTCTTGTGTCCATATATCTAGATGACCAGTCCAGGCTACGGAACTGAGATGTTCCTTTGAACATTGAGCCTTGAACAAAATGGAAGACCTCCGGAGAACCAATGCATTTGAGTTATGGTGTTGGAGAAAAATGTTCAAAGTACCGTGGCCCACCAGAAAAACAAAAACCCCGTGTTGGAAGTAGTACAGCCTGGGTGCTCCTTGGAGGCAAGGATGGTCAGACTTTGTCGCTTATATTTCAGACACATTATCAGGAGGGACTAGTCCCTGGAGAAGGACAGCATGCTTAGTAAAGTGGAGGGTCCTCGAGAATGTAGAAGACCCCCATGAGATGAACTGGCACAGTGGTGGCAGTGATGGGCTCAAGCGTAAGAGTGATTGTGAGGCTGCTTCAGGACCAGCCGCTGTTCCATCCTGTTATACCCAGTGTCAGTCACTAGGATTGGAACAGACTCAAGGACACTTCACAACAACAACTCACCTTTAAAACACTGGCTGGCGGGTCAGAAGTTTTGCCTAATCTGTGATCTATATATTAAATAAACTTCAGATCAGTTTATGCTATTGGCTTAATAGTGCTTTATTTTAATGCTATAAATAGAGAATGCATAAACAAGTTGAAGTATATGCATACACTATAGTAATTATACATATAAATCATAGAGATTGAATTGGTGAATGACTCTCAAAACCATTATGCTGAGCAGGAAAAGGTAGACACAAAGGGATCCACAGTGTAGTTCTAGGTATATGAAGCTCGGGAGCAGGCACTGAAATTACAAAGCAATTGTCTCTATGGGTGAGGGGGTGCATGCTGGCTATCCCGACAGAAGTGTGGGCTACAGGGCCGGAAGCATTTCTCCAAACTCAGCTCTCTGTACACCATCATTGTCAAGCAACAAGAGCAGAACCTAAGTGACTCTTTAAAAATTCTCTCTTAATAAATAAACAGAGACATTCTAAAAGACAAGAAAGTTTCGGTCACATTTTAATTGACAACATTTGTTCTTTCTCTCTTGTGTGTCTTACAGTCATTGGTATCGTTGATTCAATACTATGCAAGAGTACGTATGAAAGCACATAGTCAAGTTACAGGAAATAAGATTTAAGCTTATTCTTTTTTTCCCCAAGAGAACTTGGTGTTCCACTAAATGCACATTGTATGGCAGAGGATTCTTCCCATGAAATGTGGGAGAAAGGAAAGCCATGTGGCATGACCACCAGCTGCTCCACGCCAAGTTGGATGTTGCAAATGCCAAGCTCAGCTTTGTTTATGACAACCCTCCGGGGCCCTGAGGTACTGACTGTATTGGCAAAGTGAGGTTTTCATTAGAAAGTGTGAACAGCAACACCAGAGTGGGTTGGTTCTGTTTAGGCCCTGGGTCCAAGTGACTTGGATCAACTCCTGTGTCAACCTACTCCATTCAAACATCTCCCTCACATGTCCAGTCTGATCGGTCACATAAACAAGCCTCACAGGTCCATCTGCATTCGTATCTCTCCTCTCAGCTTCTCAGGGCACTTGGCCGTACTCTGCAGACATCTCCTCTGCCAGACTAGTTGTGCTCATATTGACTGGTCTAACCCCCAAAGTCCCTGAAATCATGCTCACTTTGAATGGCCTCAACCTCAAAGCCCCTGGAATTGGAGACAGATGAGACTTTCTGCTCCTGGGAAAAATTTAAAGCTTCGTACAGGGTCACTATGAGTCAGTACCAACTCAACGGCACTTTACCACCACCACCTTCAAAAGTCCTGGAATTGTG